ACATTTCACACCTGCAGACCCCAGGAATGCTACAACTGCGACGCCGCCGTCAGGGGATGCTGCAGGAGCAGAAGCGAAGGGATGGACATCCGGATGGTTTAGGCAGCGGCACCCGTGTTCGCCACCATCGAAGTCGGTGTATTGGCTGCCCGAACCACACCAGAGAGAGTATCTCGGTGGATATGCACGCTTCCTTGGGGCGGGATCGGGACTTGCCGAATTGATTTCGTATGTGGAACACCTCCCCCTCGACAGTAGGTTTGTATTGATGGGTCTAATGCTTTTACTAGATATATCCCCCGGATTCTCCATCATATCGCGTTGCCGGCTATCTCCCTCGTTCCACTGATTCCTTCGAATTCGGATTTCAAGTTCCCCACCATAATATTTTCACACGGTCTTGGCGGAACCAGACTTGCGTACTCACATCTATGTGGTTCCCTAGCGTCCTACGGCAACATCGTAATAGCACCCGAACACCGCGATGGCAGTGCGCCAGTCACCTTCATTAAGCCAGGATCCAAACCCGAAGCCAAAGTGAAAGGACCAAAACCTGGCAGCGACGAGCCTGGAATTAGCTCTTGTTCAGCAGCACCATCTCCTTCAAGAGTCCAGGTAGACTACACCAACTACCCACATCAAATATCAGACGAAACCGCAAATGGCCGAAACCGGCAGCTTGAAGTCCGGCTCTGGGAGCTCTCCGTAGTCTATGCGGCGCTTACACAACTCGATCTCGGTCACATACCCGCCGGCACGTCTATGTTTGATGCCGACACAACATCCCGCGACTCCCTCCTCTCCGCGTTTCGGGAGAAATTCGACATCCGAGAGCCGGGGCGGCTGATATGGGTTGGCCATTCATTTGGTTCTGCAACAATGATCCAGATGATGAAGTCCGTCTACTACGGTAAAAGGGGAGTAACTTCAAACCCAGAAGAGGCACCACTATTTATCCCCGACACCACCATTCCCCATAACACCCCTGGCGCAGTGCCATTAGGCGACCAAATCACCGCCTCCTCTCCACTCATGCTCCTCGACATCTGGTGTCTCCCTCTCCTCAGCAAGCGCACCCGTCCATTATGGAAACTCCCTCTACCGCAAATCGATGCGGGCAACACCGACAAGGTCCTCGTCATCATGTCCGACGAATTCTTCCGCTGGCGTGAGAACCTCCGGGGTGTACGCCGAGTGCTTTCCACAGACCCAGGTCGTCGAAGGGAAGGCCCGGAACATAAAGTATTCGAACAATGGGACTCCCGACCAAACACTGCATCCAAAGAATTCCACCCAAACAATGACGTTTCCACCCCTGGAGGCGCCAATACAGGGAACCAAATCGTTCCTCCTATAAACACCTCCTCAACACCCCCATCACCGCCAGAAACGGACACAAAAGAAACGGAGGGAATACGGTTTTACTACGTCAAAGACTCCGCACACCTAAGCCAGAGTGACTTCGGCCTGTTGTTTCCTCGCGCGATGAAGCGTGCGGTGGAACCGGAGTTGATCCTGGATCTGAATGTGAGGGCGGCTTGTCAGTGGTTGAGAGAATGTGGGTATGGAGGTCAGTTAGCGGAATATGAAAGGAAGGACGCCGGGGGGTTGGACGAGAAGTTGGAGAAGATGCAGATTGGAGAGAAGGAGGGTGATGATGTGTTTGGTGGGAAGACGGAAAGGTGGGTAAGGATTTCGTTGGAGGATTGACATATTAGGGAGACTCTTGCGGCTGGTATGGCGAAGTTGTGAGGTCTTTGGATTGTATTTTTGGGAGGTTTTGGGTTTTTTGTTGGGGAAGTCGGTGCTACTGGTAGTATATACGGCTTAATTGGTATACCTTTAATTTCAAGTATTTTGGACATGCCTCGGCATCTCTATGTGGGGGTGTTCCGAGTGCAAGCTTATGATTATCTACAAAGTTGGTGATGTGATATCGGAAGTTAACCGCACAGCACTGGTATCATACATTTGAATACGGTTTTTATAGTAACCTGCAGTCGTGGTAGTTGGGAGAATATATGGGACTAGTTCAATCGTGCAAACATTGCATTTAATAATAAACCAGGGCAGATCTTGGGATATAGACAGGCAGATTTCGTTTGTTCAGGTAAAGAGGGGATTCAATAGCATGTGCAATACTAAGTTCGAGAACTTCATCAAATTGTATTAAGCATACAAAACCCAGATGACCTCCGCAAGACAGTAACAAGATGAAAGAACCACAGATAACCCGATAAGCAGTTGAATATAAAGGAATATCCAACCCGCTTAAGCTTCTGTTCCCCCACTTTTAATCAACTAAAACCTAGATCTGTGCACTCGCCCGTTCTAAGATAACTGTGAGTATTCCATGCCTGTATATTCCCAATCCGATTCTATTCCCCCACTTTTTAACCAAGTAAAACCCAGATCTGTGCGCTCACTCGTTCTAAGATAATAGTGAATATTCCATCCTCGTATATTCCCAATCCAAAGCCACTACTCACCACATTTAGTTCTCCTCGACGAGCTCCCACTTCTCCTTGAAATCCTTAACAAACTTCTTCCAGGAAAACGGATAGATATCTGCCTTCCTCATATCACGAATTCCATGAGTTTTCATGCAGTATCCCGCAAACCAAGGGTAAGCCCTCAAAGAGTCAAGGTGAATACGCGCAAGCTGGATCCGGTGGTTGTCGGTAGCGTTGACCCCTGCGTGCTCCTCGATTGACAAGATCCACGAAACGATAAACTTCGGGTCACGCTCGTGCGGGGCGCCGTGGAACATGGCGATGTTGGGGAGCTTGGGGACTGACTTTGAAGTAGTGGTGATACCCGACTTGGAAGCAGCAATGTTGGCGGACTTCGGAGCTGTGTTGTTAGTAGGCTTTTTCTGAGAAACCGAGGTATTCTCCGGGAGAGGAGGGGATTTGGAAGCCGCCCTGATGTGGGGTGGAATGCGGGCGGTGGTAGATCCTGGGCTGGAAGTCGGTTTGGTGATGTCATTGGTGTTGAGCTGATCAAGAGGAGAAGTATTATTTGGAGTAGCAGTGTTCGGAACAGCAGTGTTCGGTGCAGCAGTATTCTGAGCAGCGGCCTGGGCCAAGTGCTGGGGAACGGATGGCTTCTCGATGACGTTCTCTTGAGACTTAGATGGGATGTTGTTCTCTGGCTCCGAACCATCCTCTCCCCAACACTTGTGCCCCTCCCTGTCCTCCTGCAGGCATGCTCTCTCTCTCTCCAGTGCCGCCTCGCGCTTCCAGACTTGTAGCCTCTCTTCATCCAATTCTTTCTCCCACTTCATCAGGCGGCTCTGCTCGTCAAGAAGCTCGTTCATTTTAACCTCGAGATTTTGTCTGCCATCGTCCAAGTTCCTCTTCATCTCTTCGAGGTGCTTCTTTTCATCCCCCAGTCGAGCCTTCTCGCACAACGCCTCCTTTTCGATTTCAGACTTCCACTGCTGCAGCTTTGCCTCCTTCTCATCCTGAAGCTCCTTAATTTGCTTCTTCAGCTCGTTATTCTCGCTGCCTAAGTGGTTGATTTCGGCTTCAAGTCCCAGCTTTTCCCAAAGATGTTTCTCTTCCTGCAGACCATTCTTCTCCTTCTCGAGTTGCTGGTTGTCTTCTAACAATCGCTTCATATCACGGCCGAGCTTCACCTTATCATGTTCCCAGGCAACCTTTACCTCAAGTAGTTGCTTCTTCTGCTCCTCTTCATGGAGCTTACCTTGCTTTAAGCCTTCATTATCGTTTTGGAGATGCTCAATCGTAGCCTTCAAGCTATGAATCTTCTCAAGCAACGAGGGCTTCTCTTTTTGCAACTCTTGGTATGCATCACACAAATTCTTATACTCTCCACCAAGAGCCGTTTTCTCTCCTTCGACATCGCGAAGCTCGGAAACCAAGCATTGAAGCTCTTCATGTTGGTGATGCTGCTGAGTCTCCAACTCTTGAATATGAGCACGAAGAGTGATATTTTCCTTGTCAAGCTCATCCACGAGTTGGTTTCCACTTCCGGCATTTCCCAACAACCTTCTATTCGCTTCCAGCACGTTTTCAATTTCTTCCTTGAGTTTAGCATTGTCGCGTTCAAGCCCTTTGATTCTTAGAGTCAAAAGCTTCTGCTCCTCCTCCCACTCGGGGTTGTAGGTGTCTTGGTTGACAAGCGCTTTGACGAGCTGCGCGTTTGTGGATAGGAGTTGCTGGCGAAGAACGTTAATTTCGGAAGATTTCTGCTGCGACCAGTTGAGGAACCAGGAGAGTGGGATGGTTTTTTCGACGGGGATCGTGTCGAGAGATGGATCCTCACCGCCAATACAGGCGGGAGTGCTGTTGCGCGTCGTCATGAGGTTTCAATTCAAACGGAAGTCAGAGAGAGAATAGGATTGATGTAAATGAAGGTGAAAGAGGTTTGAAAGGCAGTTTATGAAGATGGAGTTCGGTATTGGAGAATTGTATGAAGCGGAATTCTATGCTGGAGGAAGAGAGGGAAGAGGGAGGAAGTAGGGAGAGGGATTTTTAAATGTTTGGGTGGTTTGCCGAGCTTATGCATCATTCTTGGTTTGCACTTAACAGAAAGATGCCAGAAGTGATTATGCCGAGAGACGATGTGACGGTGTCCCGAAAGAGATGTTCTGTAGATTCTGTAGATTTGCTTGCTCCCGAACAATGCCATTCACCTCCATGCCATTCACCAAAATCACCATGTTACTCTCGCTCGAAAATAAAATTTGACATCTAAAAACCGTAGCACTCCATATATATCGGTACAGTAACAATAGCACCGAGCATTGGGGCCGGTACGCGGTGACAGGGAGCAGTGGAATCAGGACCCGATGTCCTTCTACGCAGCCACCCGTTCTATGTCAGCCAATCTTTATATACCACAAATACCATGATCATATCATAGTCGTTCTAACGCATACCAAGCAGATCCTCCATATAAAAAACTTCGATTGTCCGTCACTCGACAGAAAACGCCTCTTCCTCTCTCTACCAGCAACTCCAATGCAAAAAGTTTGGAGCAGTAGGGGATCGAACCCTAGGCCTTTCGCAAATTACGATTGCAAAGCGAACGCGCTACCACTGCGCCACAACCCCTGTATACACGATAGCAATTGTTTGTGGCAGTAATCTTTTTAACCAGTCCAATTCTTCCATGTGGCAGCTGACTTCTATACATACATGAAGCTATCGTTATTAGAAAGTGTGCGAAAACAAGACAATTCAAACACATAGATGAATCACTGCTCCCAAACGCACAGTCATTAAACATCCTCCCACCACATAAAGCGCAACAAAAGCCCACAAAAAAACCCTAGCCCAGTCATTTCCTCGAACGGCACATCAACGCCCCACCCAAAAGCGCCCATCTAAACTCTACAAAACACATCCTCGCAGCGCGATATATCATCTATAAGATCTGCCATATGAGTTGTCGATTCCTTAGTATCCAGACCATGGAGCGGAGAAGATAATCCCGAATCCATCCATAACATTGGAAAAGAACAGAGACAGCAGTAAGAAGTACACCCACGATGAGAATAATGTGGTCCCAGAAGGGTGCTCTTAAGCCAGTATCATATCTAGTGTAGAAAGACCCGCGGCAGGGCAGTGCTAAATTCTGTGAATGGACAAGTGGAAGGGACAGAACCCGATGCAGGGAACTCAGGCAGTTGATCTCTCTTAGCAATTTCTTCGCGCTCAAGTGGTTCCAGAAGTTCCACTAACTTTGCGAATGCCTCCTGCCGTTGAGAGTTTATGATCGATTGATCGCGCTTTACTCTCGCTATGGCCGAAAGGTATCCTCCACTCGTGTCCAACAAAACATCTGCGCCATATTTTAGTAGTAGATGCACCGTCCTGGTTAGCCCATATCTTACAGCCTTCGAGAGCGGGGTCAAAGGTGTGGGGAGGCCGAATAAAAGCAGACCTTCGTAAACAGTTGAGAGAGGGTGAAGTCGACGTTGGCGCCTTCCCCGATCAGAAGCTCTAGACATTCTATGTCTAGGTCCTCGTTGGAATATAGATAAAGTATCCAGTCAAGCACCTGTCGGTCAACGCCTTGGATGTATTTCCGCAAGTCCGCGACTTTTCTCTGACCAAATGAGAATTTGAATATAACCCTCGCGAATTGTAGTACATTTTTGATTATATCAGTTTGCCCAATGAGATCGAGGGTGTGTTTATCACCGTAGCGAAACATGTCGTATGAGACAAAATGATAATTACGACCGAGGTCTATTATGTTCTGTCCCAAAACATCCCCAAGATCACGACTAGGAAAATCGAAGATAAGGGATGATAGGATCTTATTTGCCATTTTGGTTCCGGTGGCAGGATTGAAGTTACATATCTTGAATATATCACCCAAAAAACGTAGCAGGAGCGAAAGTTCCTGATATAAGTCCGGCGCGTCAGTAGCAGTGATAATTACAATTACTTCTTCGAGCATTGCATGGCAAATATTATTAGTATCGGCTGTTTGTAGATGTAGGCGACATTTTTGCCACTCAGGCACCAAACGGACCAATTGTCCACAGCACATAATTGTTAGGATTTGACATAAATTGCACTTTCCGTGCGGGTCAAGCGATTCTGGATCCTGCTCAAACAGTCCTAAAGCATGTCCACAAATGCTATCCAAAAAGCGTCGTGATAGGAGCTTTCCAATGCTAAGAGGTCCCCATCTGTATGTGAACTGAGGATCAAATGGAAATTTCTCTGTTGCGTCGACAAGTCGCACCATAGCGGTTTGAAAGCTTTGTCTGTCCTGCAGACACTGCAATGCTGTCCTATCAAAATAAGCTCAAGACCTTCTGAAGAGTGATTCTGGATTTCACCCCAATCTCACACTAGATTGATTACAGTCGACTCCAGAGTTAACCAAAAGCTCAACAAACTCTATTCTTCCATGCCAGGCGCATACCTATATCCTAGCATCAGATTTGTTTCGGAAATGTATGCATGCAGAATCATACCGAGTGCAAAACGGGCATTCCATGCGGATTGGTATCATTGACTCCAACCGCACCTTTACATAGGAGCTTTTGGAATTCCGGAAAGTCCGCATTTTTTATTGTATCCCACACTGGATGATTAGAGGATAAAACTGTAGTAGATGATAATGTAGCTGTGAAGGTAGGTCGAATAAGTTCAACTCCGCATCGGATTAGAAAGATGGCTTGAGTAACGATGGAGTTATGTGAATACCGCGCGCTGGATGAAACCCCCACTTATCAGCTATTTTATACTGTCCACTGGTGTCGTCGCATTGAAATCCAAACTGTACCTCGATCTCTCCCCCTAGAAAGTGGTACCGTGCGCGGTGCGTCATCACTATTGGGACTAGGTTGTCTATCTTTCCGCACTGCCTGTAGATCGGCTGTAGCCTTTGGATTTTCACACGAGGGCTCATGCTGCGGATGAGAGCCTTTCTGTGCTCCATAAACTCTTTCTTCGTGACCATTAAAGCGTAAATTTGCTGTAGGGTTTGTGTAACATGTGATAGGTTTGCCAACAATGGTGTTTGCACCTGCTAAACTGCATATTTGAGACAGGGTAGCTGACAATTAGATATGTATCTACTCGGGTTAGCATTGTTAGGCGAAAATTAGAAGGGAAACATACGACTCTAGTGCAGAGTCATTACCACCTCTATGTCCTCAGCGAGAATTGACAACAGCCTCGTTGCACAGGTTTTATGTGACAAGAACCATCGGGTTCGGCCAGTAGTTCTTCCAATACTTGCTTCCAATTTTGCGGCCAGGTCTTTAAGCTCCGCAAAGTGAGTTCAGAGGACTATGCACTTATTATTCCAGTACCGTTAGGTTTCTAGATCGTCTTCGCTAAATAGAACCTCCGATCGAATGCGACTAATCTGAATCAAGATCCGCTCTAGATCACGTAGTCGAGTGCCGATACAGACGACATCTTCTAAGGCGTCTTTAATTGAATCATAGCAGCTGATAGCCTGCTTCGATAATTTGCCGGCGAGTGTGATAAAAGCGAGGGCACTGGCACCGAGACTGACCAGTTCTGCCATGGTTATGGAGAGTGGAGGTTGCGTTGTGCGCAAAGGATGAAGGCGATGTTTTAAGCGATTTCGAGAGAAGGCTTTGAGGCTGACTGTGACACTGCATATGCGCGTTGTATCCGAAACAGTATAGACCTAGATATGGCGGATATATTGACGGTATTCGGCGTTTGGGGTTCGTTCGGATCATTAGATTTGCTTTGTTTTAGTTGGTGACGGATATTGATGGTTGATCGTAGAGCGCACACCTAGCCCTAGACTCAACGTGCCAAATTATGGTGGGAAAGGGCTTATCAGCCTCCCTAATACTGCTCTCGTTCCCAGAATTTCGCTCTTCCCCTTCGGCACGAAAAAAGGTCTAAGCACAAGAGCACCCTAGTACATGCTTTTGTTACTGCAAGGTCATTGCCACCAGCCCACTAGCGCTCCAGACACTTTGTTTCCTCCAGAGGTAGGTTTAGCTCAGGTTGTTACAGAGGGATCTTCCTAGCTACAACCCTTCCGCAAAACGGCAATACCGAGAGGTAACCCTGAATTACTCGAGGTCGGGTAAATCTTTATAGATCCTCTCATGCTTATGCATCGACACTTTCCATGTAGATTGACACCTGTAAAGGAAGGCACACCAAGTACTGTCTATGTCCTCAAAGACTTTGCTGGTTCTGGAAACAGATAAGCTCAGCGCACTAGTAGATATCCTTTTTCAACATCCCGAACAGCCACCCACAGTTCCTGCTGATATTATAAGCTCGCTAAAGACAATCGCCGACCTCTGTGAGCACCGCGGAAGCTGGAAAACAAATCCAAGAGATCCTCGTTCAAGATTTTGAGATGCTGCCGTCGATTCCCGTAAACGTCATGAATTCTTTGAACACCAACATCGACCCGTTTGCGAACCGTGGCAGTTGGAAGTTCAAGGCAAAGAGTCCTAAGATTTGCCAGACCCATTCTATCCTCAACGCCGATTGAGGAGATATTTAAGGCCTTGGTGTGGACGAACGATAAGCGCATTTTAGCTCCGTCTTGTTCAATCAATGATTGTTTGTGGTACCTCCAAGGCCCTTGGAACAGAGAAGTGGATGCTGTTATACTGGATTTTAACAAGTATCGCGGAGTGACATTTGTCGCGAGTGGGTGCGGAGTATGCAAGGTTAGGCGTCTGTGTAGCGAACGTTTGTTTTTGCATAATTTGGGGTCGTATGCCATTTACATGACCTAACGACGGTACGAATACTCGCGCCCTCCTTAAGATGTGCTGGATAGCTGGCCTTAAAATGGAAGGAATGGTGGATGAAGAAGCTGGAAAGATCTGGGAACTCATTGTTGCCGGACATGCCGATCGTATCATGTAATCTTCCTAAACTGCATGATAGGTATTCTGTCTTTCCACCTTGCATCTCTCTTTTTACCTCTTCCTGGTATATACTCTCTAGCAAATTCTTATGCCAACGGCCCGCCATGCCGTTCTAGTATGCCATCAGTTCTATGAATGTTCCAAATTCTACCGCAGCTCCAGCAGCTCCGTATGTTTATATGCGACTAAGTACCTCCGCATTTTTACATTACGTTACAGGAAAATCGTGGTATTCTCCTGCTGAGAAGATCACGCGAGTGATAGAAGGAACAAATGTTACAGAAACCTCTTCGTTTGTGTCGAACGAACATAGCGGTTGGGTATCAACCAAACGCCAACGAAGGCTCCTCATCTGAAGATATATAGATTTAAAGCAACTACTAAAGTCTACACACGGGGGAGTCTGTGGGACCGACGTTACCGCTCCGACCAATGGACCCGGATCAACTAGTATCCAAACATAACTGATTGGATATGTTCCGACCCCATTGGCAAGTAACTCGCTTGGCCAAGTGGCCGGCCCACTTAGCAAGGGGGCCGCTTTCCAACAAGCTCATCTACTTGGCCAAGAGCTCATGCCAGTTGGCAAGTTGTGAACTTTGAATTGGGTTGGTCCACAGGGAAAGCCCGCCACTTTCTGAATGAGTCCCTTAGTAACCCGCACTGAGATTACTATTGACCAAGGAGTACTTAATAATTCTGGGAACAGCA